GGTGATAATCTTGTTTTCTTGTGCCCAATAATGCATAATTTCATTTGATAAACACGTTTAGATTGAATGGTAATTTATAATCAGTCAGAAGAACGTCGAATCTGAATCACTTGAAAAAAACACGGGGTGCTTAACTTTTTTCCAGGTGTATATATAATGTAAGGAGTTGAGTTAAAAACAATATCCAAAGATACTCTCTTGGTTTAAAGTGTTATTTCTTTCAGTCAGTTACAAGTCATGGTTTTAACTTGTAGAACATTTAGTAGTAGGTGTATGTATGAAATATAATTTAAGTCTCATTCTTATATCTATGTATATTGTGTTTTTAACGCCCCTAAACACCTACCATGTAGTTTAATCTAGAAAGTAGAGTACTATGGCCTTCATCATAACTTGATAAACAGTTTAAGGTCCTTAACATATGAAATGTCTTTATCAAATATCATACATAACACTCCTTATTGCCCTTAATAAATTTCCTACACTTATAAATAATTTTTTTTTGCATATTTGAATATTTATAATACCAGCCAACAAACATCTGTGTTGCCAAGTTTCTTGCAAAATTAAATAATTCCTACAAATGTATGAAAAGAAAAACTAATTTATTTCATGATAATCTTTTCCAATTCCAGTAAGCAGAAACTAATTTAGTTTAATGTACCTCCTCCTACAGTTCCTGGATTTTATTTTTCAAACAAACAAACAAACAAGTGTTTATTAATGTAGAAATCAAATATTAGTATATAAATGCTAATGAACAACTAGGATTTTAAATAAATTTCTACTTATATTATTAAAGTGTATATTGTAGATTTTATTGTAAAGGCAACAATAATAATAATAAAAAAAATGAACCCTTAAATATTAAGTTCAATTATATTATCACAATGTAGCCATGAAAAATAATTATAATCAACAGAAGAAAAAAAAAGTCCTTACTTTTGACAGTTACTAAGATCAAACTATTTTTTATCTGTTAATGTTCTATCACATCTTTTTCTGAGGAAGCCAAGCACTGTAATTCAATAAGAAATGGACTAAATACTGAAACAGGTAAACGTCACAAGTATAAACTTAAAACACAAAGCAACTATGTAGATTGAGAAATGCTAATTTTTGTTTTAAATATTTATTCTTCAAATTTAAAAGTGTATTTGGTTTAATATGCTCGTACAGCTGGTGGTACCATACTGCATTCTCTCTCATCTAGGGTGTTGTCGATAACTGGCCTATACTCCAAATGAACCTATAAATAAAGTCACACATACAGGTGAAATTAAAATTTTAAGCAATCACATCTAGAAGAAACATAATGCAAAAATGTTTAAACAACCCCCGCTACCTTGGTCCAGATATTTTAGATTACTTTTAATATAATAATTTCATAACCCAGATTGGCCTAAAAACATTTATAATGTGGCTAAAACTAACTATGTCAAAGCTAGAGAAATTCAACTCCTTTACACCCACATTTAAGATTTAATGAAACAGTAATCACTAAGCTGTTATAGCTAAAAATTAAAACAACAGCTCTCAGATGAACAATGGACTAACCTTCCCACTTGATACATCCATTTTTGACAAAGTGTGTTTCCTCCAGTGTTCATTAAAACTTTTTTTGTTCTGACCTTGGACTGGCTTAGAATAGTCATACTCATCAATTCTCTCCTGAAAGAATTAAAGAAATTTCCATAATTAATATTACAAAATATTTAAACTGTCCACTACTAAATAAAGATACCAAAGTCTCAATTTTTAAATATTCCTATTATAAAGTTTTATACACATCTGATACTAATTAAAAATAATTAAACCTCTTTATTAAATTATAACATCATTTTATTACATAAGCCTTTACATTTTGATACTAACTCATTATGCGTGAGCACATATGACTCATACTTCTGTTAATCTGCTCTATCCTGTGGAATACAACTTTTCAGTTTTGAGTAACACTCCTTTGAATCTATACAAACACTTAATGCTATGTATAGTTTCACAGGAACAGAGACTGATGTTAAGTATCCTCAGTGTCTCAATAGAGTTAACAGCAAAACTGCAACAAATACTTGGTATACACGATTACTGCTTTATTGGAGTGGTAAAATTTCCAGCTACCCTGTTTGCTTTATTCTGAGATTCAGCTGCTCTATTGCTAGCATTGCATGTCTCTCTCTCTCTCTCTCTTTTTATATAATAATAATAATAATAATAAAAACAACACACACACACACACACACACATTCATGACATTCTTAAGTTAAGCTATGCTAAATTTGCCTTTCTACACTTGGCCACAAAAATACTAGTTGAGCTATAATTGCACAGTTAAAGAGATGTACAGTGCACATGTCATGTTATCCCAGTTTTGCCTTGCAATAAACGAGCTTCATAATTTTCACTTCAAAGCTTTCTTGAAGGAACTGAATTTAAAACACACTACTATAGGTCTATGGACTCCTAACAATTCACACAAGCCTTTTACAAAGGTTTTGCCAGCCACAGTGGAAAAAGGTTGAGAAACATCGCTATCCCATACAATTTTTGGATCTCTTTTTATGGTTGATTTAAAACAAAGGCTTGAGATATAGTTTAATTACTCAAATTTCAAACCTTTGTCATCTTTAACACAATGTTAGAATTTTTTACATTAATATTTTCCCATACTTCCAACTAATTTTAATGTCTCCAAGATCAATTAAAAAAAGCATTATGAGCAAACCCATTTACTTCAATTATAAAAAAGAAAGTATGATACTGGATTAACAGAAAAACAACTTCTCTCACTGAGCTAATGTTATGCCTGAAAACTTTAATGTGTACTGGGAAAAAAAACAACAACAAAAAAAAACTATTTGCTACAAAATTTAATATTTATGATGACTATTTCAATTAGACAAATACATACCTTGAAATCTTCCCGAGCATGAGCACCACGACTCTCCTTTCTTGCCTCAGCTCCGTGGATTGTTTGAAGAGCATTGAGCATGAGGTTCTGCAGCTCTAGAGTTTCAACTAAGTCAGTATTCCAAACCATTCCCCGATCACTTAACTGGAATAGCAAAGAAAAAGTTGAAGTATTAAATTATAGAGGGGAGGAATAATATAAAAAAGATGTACATGCTTAACCACTCAACATACATTCTTCTATAAATGCTGCTATTCAATATTTTAGTTCAGTACTTAATTAATAACTTGTGAAAAAAGAGTTAATGGTAAAATGATTTACCTGTAGCAACTAGCATTACCCACTGAACTCAATATTCTCGTTTAACATAGAGGAGGCTGTAACCTTGAAGTATCATCTGACCTACCATACTTTACATAATGTGCAGCTTTACAGTGATACCTCAATCTCAACCTTTCACCACTAATGATCGGTTGTGGTTAAAGTACATTTTTATGTAAATAATATTTCTTCAGAAAAAATAACCTAAAAGATTCAGGTAATCCTGAATTACATTTCAGTTATAGGTAAAAATACAAAACTTTTCTTGCAGCTTTCTGCTTCAAAAGATCATTTGATGCTTTTTCACACCAATAAGACTTGAGTGAGAGTAGAAAGTTACTTCTATAAAATAGTGTATTGCTTTTAAGAGTTCAGCTTAAATTTGTTCTTTAAACCTAAAGATTTCATTTCTAGTTATTTAAAAGTCTTTAAATTAAGGACTGCTAAATAACTAACTTCAGTTGAATGTTAAACCTTAATGAATCCTAAAAAAACAGTAGTACCTTAATATCCTCCATTGCTTTATATAAATCACTCATCTTACGACATCCTTCCTTCAAGCTTTCACCTGTTCTGAAAACTGCAGCATGGGTTTGCATGGTCTATTTAGAAAGAAAATATAACTTAGAAAAGAACTTAAAAGGACTGACTGTAGCTTAATGACTTGAGTAACTTTCATGTAACCTCAAGAGTAGTTTTTCTGAAATTGCAACAAGTGTGAATGCTGTTAACATAGAAGCTGTTCTGTTGACAGGTTCAAAAGAAAGCTGAAGAATTGCAAAATAATCATATTCCTAAAAATCAAGTATAACCACTTTAAAATGTAAATTGAAACAAATGTTAATACAGTTTCATTTTATTTCCACCACCACAACCCAATTTAGCATAGTTTTACAAAGGTTATCACTAAGACAACATAAGAATCCTCAATACCCACAGCTGTAATTAGATCTCAAATCCATCAAGAAATGGAGCTACGAGCTAAAAGTTTGTACTTGAAAACAAATTCTCGGAGCCGTTCTATGAGGCACTATGCCACGGCTAAAAATATACATCATTCTTCTGGAACTATAATAATAAAATAAAAATTCTCACATAACACTCATCTGGCCAATAAAACACTAAACTGACAAATACACAACAGTTAGATACAAGTGCATTTTTATTAACTTCTGATCAAAAGTAGATATAAATCAGTACAAAATATTAGTCAGTCATTATAGAGCATTGAGTATATTAAATAATGATTTTGAATATGCAAATCAGCAAGGCATGTGTTAACGACATCCAATCTATAGATGCAGTGGAACAAAGTGCATCAGAACTACATTCTGTTTGGCATTTCATAGACAGCATGATGCTACCAAAAACTGATCACATTTAGCAAAAGTATGAAACAGCCCTTTCCAATACAAAATATTTAAACACTCAGATGATTATGAAAAGCACCCAGGAAAACGTGGTGTGCTTTGGGCATGACAGCCTCATAATGGAGCCTTTTAACAGTGAAAACTGCTGCAGGGCTATTGTCAAAAGGCATAACTGTAAGATAGACTATGACCAGACATGGTGATATGGACTGCAATGATATGGCAAGATCTTTCTAACATTAACATACTCAACCTCTGTATGTCACTTTTGTTTCATAATTCATTCAGTATTATGAAACAACTTAGTTGTAATAGTTTTACAACAGTAAATAAAAAAGACAAAAATTGGAACAACATATCTCACGTAAACTTTTTTTTTTCTAGAAATTTACCAATATGAAAATCTGTAAAAGTTTAGGTTTGTTTCTCATGCCTTTCTTCACATGCTAAGTTAACCATTTGACTCTTAGTTAACCTTGTACAATGTTGAGTTACACTGTTGTTGACAGCATAACCCAGAGTTTGAGGTTTTCAAGAGCTATTAAGACCTTCAGTTGAGCCAAAACTACATCGCTAAAGTAGAGAACCAGTAAGTAGCATAACACCCAAATGTTCTGCTCATTATTCTGATTCCGGAATCAGAAAGGCAAACTCATCAATGCTTAAAGTTTTTGCACACCAAAATGTTGCATTTTAACTTGTGGAGTGCAGAATCACTATAGCATTTTGCTAACTTCAACACATGATGTCCATCAAGACAACTCATCACACCAGGCTAAAATGCCTTCATGACAACTGCTGTTCATTAAAAATAGGGAAAACAAGTAATACAAAAAACAAAGATGATGTAGGTATGGCAATGCCAAAAAGTACAGAAACGAGGTAGGGATGAATACACTCAACATACAAAAATCTTATATAAGTAACCACTGAGTCCATGTTACAAGCTTTTGGAAATTAGCCATTGTAAGACTTTGTATCAATATTCAGTTTAAGTGCTTTAACTCTTTCAGCACGGGCTCAGCCCCTGGGACCAACCTCATAACCATTTTGTGCTTGTTACAGTTTTCATGCTATAACTTTTAAATTAGTAAGCAAATTAATATGAAAATATCTTTTTTTTTTGTATTAAATCTTAAGATTTGTAAGGCAATGTTTTTCTCATGCCTTTTTTTCTTTTCACATGTTTCCTATCTATCATGCAAAGTAATTTTCATTTTAAGATTAAAAATACTTTTAAGCATAAGAAAAGTTTCAGATTTCACATTCAAAATCTTTATAATGTCCAGACAGTTATCAAATGTTGAAAGAAAAAAAAAAAAAAAAAAACTTTATATTTTATCTATTATTTTCAGTAATTAATCTTTGTATGGGTTCGGTTGATTTGACCAATCTCGCAACCACCATAAAAAATTAGGAAATAAATATAAATTATGCGTATTTCATTCTAGAATGAACACAAAGTATAATATGAAAACAAAAATGTTTAGGCTAAATAGCTTAAAACTCATAACATTATACATTTATATACGTATATATTTATCATTTTTATTATATTGACCTTTCACCCGTGCCTGGCTAACAATACAGAAGTTACAATGACACACCTCACGTGCACTCGTATTATCTTATCAAATAACAAAGGTAACCTTTGGTCTGTATAAAGTAACTTTTCTTAGCTGTGTTTTAGTAGACTAGTATTTTGTAAAATACAGTCACATTTAAATTATTATAAATTATATATGTAAATAGATTATTGTTCATTTGAAATAAGTTCTTAAACGTATTTTTCTTAAAACATAGAACAGTAAATAAAGTAAAGCAAACAATTCCCTTCTAGTTACGACCTTTGTACTCGGTTGTGGGTTGACATAGGTTGCTGAGCCTTAAAATTTCTCATGTGGAGGATATGAAACGAGTTATTTTTGAGGTTTTATATATACATTTGAGTAACTAAGAAAAAATCATAAATTACTATATCGGTACCATAGAATTCCACTATAATTTATCAAGCTTAGTAGCTAGGATGTATTTTAGTCTAAAACAAATATGAAATTTTGAGCAGAATAAAGACACACACCCCACCTCCTTGAAATCTTGGTTCAAGAGAAAGAAATGGCATCCTAAGAATTTAAAATGGCTGAGAAAGCCACTAGGGGGACATTTTGAGCTTCCAATTGGTTATTCATATCATAAGGGAGCATTTCCAAAAATGGAATAAGGTGGCCGAGGTGCCATTGTGTTGGATTTATTACATGAGCAATATCTTAGCAAATAGAAAATATAAGACCTTATTTTATATTCTAGATTGTCAATACCTGTAATTTGAGTTTCTAATTCATATGAAACTATAGGCTTAGTGTTTTGTCTTCACAAACATCTAATTTGAACCAGTCCTGCATTAAACATACCACGTGACAAAAAATAAATAAATAAAAACCATATTTATCTGTTTTTTTTTTGCTTTGTTTTTAATTTGCTTATAACTTAAGAAATTGAGTAATATATAGTACTAAAATTTGAATTACAAACTATAGTTTGATACCAAACAAGATGACTTGGCCTTTCAACCGTGACCCATCTCAAAAGGGTTAATTGAAACCTGAATTCATGCAAATGAAAGGAATTCAACATTTAGTTGTAAATAAAATAAAAGCTGTTCTTAGAGATATTTAGCTACTTACATAGAGATTTTTGCATGTTTTGTGTATTCATCCCCATCTTGTTTCTGTACTTTATAGCATTGCCATCCCTACATTATCCTTACTTATTTGTTTTGTTTTTTATTATTTAATTCCTTGTTAAGATTTATTTTTATACTTTATTTTTCCAATTGCAGCAATCACCACTTTCAGCTATAAATTGTAAAAAACAGAAACAACAAATATTTATTGGTAATGTAGGACATAACCTTTTCAAAATGATGAAAAATCATCAAAAAAATGAAGTCAAATTAGTATCTTTATTGCAACAGTAATTATTTAAATACAAGGTTTCTAGAATAATTAAAAAGAATTTTAACTGCAGAAACCAAAATACCCTTGTCTTAGACCTAACATTAGTTATGTCTTTATTAAGTATGGCCTATATTCGATAAAGAGATAAATTAATACTGTAACTTATGTACATTTGTTTCTTTAGTTTAGATAGGGCCAGTCGCTCCCTGGCACAGGTGTGAAGGGGTGCAAAATTTCCCCTGGCCTATAATGCTATTAAATAGTAATTATGCCCTCCCCTAGGATATAGCGCAACATTAAGTAAATACGCTTGCAGTTTTAACTTAAAAGCTGCCAACTGAAATACAGTGAGGCCAAATGGACGTACAGAAGTAAATTACACTATTCCATCATTCATCTGTAGATCAAATACAAGTCCTAGAGTACAACGTACAAGTAAGTGTATGTTCATCAAAAAGAAAATACGAGATTGATGTAACATATTAAATGGTGTGCAAGATTGGCAGTATATGCAACAGGCAAGGTCTAGATCTAGTAAACATTATAGGCCTAATATAGTGTTTTGTAATTGTATTGGCTGATTGTAAATCATGTCTTACACCAACTAATGTACTAGACTTTAGGTACAATTGCAATTATAACTTTATTCCTAGACCCTAAGTCCATCATCATACAAATTGTAGCCTATATTATAGGCATACTTACACCTATACTAACTATTAAATTAGGCATTGCACTGGGACAGATCTAATGACTAAGTTAATAGATCTAGATGTAACATTTGTGCTAAAAGTTAGACCTAATCAATCTAAATCTAGAATTAATGAGGCAGGATTATATCTAGATCTGGGTAGATTCAAAACAAGGTGCTTTCAATCTATGCACCCAAATCTAAGGTCTAGTTTAGATGTATAAAGTTAAATTTCTGTCATTATTATTACATCTAGATCCAAACCTACTACTAAAAAGATGGAAATAACAGGTCTAACATTAATGTTAGATCTAGATGTACTAGCAACCTAATCTAGCACCACTAATTAGTTAGCCTATATTTAACTTCTCATTATATCAAAACCTTTAATATTAAATATTGCCTTTGAGACTCTAGGCTTATAATATATTATGATTACACCCTTTTCCAGTGTGTGTAATTTTCAATCGAGCAATTTCAGACTTGTCTCCTGTAGCGTT